CAATTATTTGTTGTTTTTTTTTTTGCATCTATTTACTATATACCTACATATATATATTATATATATGTATATATATAATATTCTTATTTAATTAATAATCTGTGATAATTTAATTAATAACATATATGTATTAGATGTAGTACATTTTATACACATAAACATATATTTTTTGAATGAGATTAAATAAAAGAAATCAATCGTCGAAATCAACAACCGCGAGAAATTTGATCAACCGCGAGAATGTACAGAATTAAATTAATTCTTTCGTCATCGTGTCCTAGATTCGACAAAGTTTCCTGCTTCACGCTTGGCTCGCGAATCGCAGATACAGTTTTCGCGATGCGCCTTCTGCGACGCAGACGGCTGCGTTGCGTTACAGGAAGGAGAAAGGATCCCGACACACACCCCAGACGTAAAATCCAAAATTTTCTACGTCCGTGCGGCCGTGCGGAGGGTGCTGCTGGATAATTTCTGCTAGCGGCATTATGCACGAAGGGGTAATACCTTATACGACCATTGTACCCCCTGCGAACATCTGGCTGTCCGGGTTAGTGATGGATGGGACAAGTTACCGAACCTGATTCCCGTAGCTGGACCAATCTCACGTACACTCGAAAAATGCTCTCATACGTTTGCGCATGTCTGTGCGTGCGTGCGTGTATATGTGCGCTCTCTCGTGTCTTATAAAATTTTAATTTATAAGATTAAACGAGCTTATGAGATATCGCACACCTGCACTGTCGCACAGCGTGAAATTTGACTAGTCTAGAAGAACAGAAAAGATATTTTATCCGCTCGTACACGCAAACATATAAGTAATTAATATTTTATTTTATATAATTAACGTCATGATATTTTATATTATAATTTAAAATTGTTTATTATAGCTTCTATCATAAAATCTCTTGAAAAAGATACAACTCGTTGATATATAAATATAATATAAATAAATATATTCTCGTTATATATTTTATCAAATATGTATAAATAAAAGATTTGAGCAATTCTCGCTCTGACGCGCTTTTATCTACTCGGTTTCGATTTCTTTATACGCGTGCGAAAACTTAAAATGCAAAGCATTCAAGTATATTGTTTTTTCTCCTGAATATTTCGAGGATAGAGAGGTTCTAAAGAGACAGAATCCCGATTTGTGATTTGATATCGAGGCACCGTGGATGAAGACGCAAGCGCGCGAGATGCGACGAGACGACGATCTAAATCGCTCTCATCGCTCTCAAATCGGACCCAAATCCAAGCGACTCGTAAGCGTGACGATCCCCCTTCCACTTTCGACACCCGTTACGAGCCGAGGTATTAGATCGTGTGTTAGACACGCGATTGGCTCCCGTCGGACGCAAAGAGGTTGGGCCAGGTGGACCATCAGGGGGTACATGATGCTATTGGCAGCACGAAAAGCCGCGGAGGAAGGGGACAAACGAGTTAGCGAATCCACAGCTTCACTATAAACGAATTATTACGCCTATTTATCAGTTCCCTTGTTTACGAACTTGTTTCGTATAGAACACTGTTAATTAATTATTAATTAAGTTTCGATCTGATTCTGAGGGAAATATATTGATGAGGTTATTACGACATCGCGGTTTAATCGATTCAAATGTCAAGATTTCAAGCGATTTTTGTCAGGAGAAAAAACTGTTTATACTTTTATCAGAATCACTAACGAAAAATTCACTCCGAATCAATTATTGAATTCATCAGTGGAAGGCGGTTCACTAGATGTAGGATCTTCTACATGTCAACTTTATTTATTTAATTATTTTAATATTAATTACATGAAAAAAGGAGAGAAAATCTCTTGTTTAACTATTCTGTACTTTAATTATTTTACATCACTAAAAATTCCACTTTTTTATATTATGAAAAACAATTGATTTTTATATATTATTGTTTCAAGATTTTCTTCATATAAATATGTTTTTTGGAAATCTTTCGAGAAAGTCTACTCTCGTCCGGACTAATCTGTATTTGAATGAAATAATCTTAAAACAGAAGAAGAGGAGAAAGAGAGAAGATGTGCAAAAACAACCGGACAAAATGTGCTCTTATTCTTATACAAATTGACATCTCGCGCTATGCGTATGTACGTCACGCGCCGGAAGATGCAATTTTCCCGAGGAAAATCTTGAGGGCGCGAAATGCGTGCGATCAGGTGGAGAAGATGCGTCTCTCGAAACGCAGGACGCGGAATGCGCGACGTAGGACATAGGTCGCCGCAGGAGAGGGGAGTCCTCGTGGAGAGCATAGCGTGTATCCTTCCTTCGCAGCAACAGCAACAGCAGCAGCAGCGGCGGCGAAGCGACCGAACTGGTCCTGAAACGCGGCGCGGGGGGCTCGAGAGGGCCTCCGAGGCCGTGGCGTGGCGGGCCCCGTTTCTGGGCCCGCTGTCTGCAGCCCTCAGTCGCTCGCTGATGCTTGGACGAATAGGTGTGTCGAGTTATCCTAGGACAGGGTTCGCCGCGGTTTCGCTCGTCGCTTTTTGCTTTTGTTTTTTTTTTTCGGGAGGGAGACAATAATACGCGTTCGCGAATCGAGTATGCTGTATATTCTCGTCCCAGTGATTAGCGGAGAGAATGGTCGAGATAGTTCAAGAATGATCACCATGAATAATCATCAAGGATACTCGAACTGTCACTCGTAGTGATTGAAAAGATACGGAGGGAGAAAAATCCGAGATAAGAGTTTCCTCTCTCCGCATTTACGGATCGTGAGGCAGCAGGATCGATATGATAATTCCATTATAGCTACTCAATCCTTGCACCTTCGAATCCTGATTCTTGCGTTTTAATTCCTGATCAATGATTACTTTGAATAATCAACTGACAATCTGAATAATATAACATTGACAATGATATACGGATGTTTATCACCAAAAAGTGTCGATTAATCAGTGGAACTCTATCTGAATTTTTATTACTTATGTCACATATCCTTGAGATAATCAAGTTATCGACGTTGAAGACGACAATTCGATAAATAAGTAATGAAGAGAGATACCCTCTCCTTCTTTTCTCGAAAAGATACAAAGTTAGCCAGTCGTATTTGTCGCAAAAGGAATACGCTTTACGTGAAAGAATATCTCGCTCATGCATATAAAACAGAGGCGCACATTAAAAAAAAGAAAAGAACGCTTCATATCTCGAATAATATGTTGAAAATCGATATGACGTACGCTCTTGGCAAGACGTCTTGGTGAAGAATATGGCTCGGCGCCTATGGTAACCGCGATGAGGCGTGGTTCGTACATATTCGCGATCGTTACGGATCATAATCCATCGAAGATCGCACGGAAGACGATCCGGTGAATCGTCACCGTCGCCTCGCGATCCATCACGGTTTCGCGATCCACCACGTACATAGTGCGTTCGGATTCGTGCGTGCTGAGAGTTGGATTACGCCGCGAGGGTTTTACTCGACGAAGTGATCGAGGAAGTGGGAGTCGGCTGTGATCGCTGCGCCGGTCGGAATCGATCGAGCGGAAAGGCAAAAAATCATTCCGGCAAACGAGGATCCCGGAGGCCTCGGCGTCGTTACAAGGATCAAGGATCAATGATCTCCGTGCAATAATTTTTCGAATTCTTGCGGAAGATACAGTTAGGTCTTTTAACATTTGCCATCCCTCTCTCTCTCTCTCTCTCTCTCTCTCTCTCTGTCCCCCTCTTTCTCTTTCTTTCTCTTCTCTCTGTCTTTTTATAGATATCGCGCAAAATTGATTGTAAACTGAGTATGCGGTGAAATAAGATTTTATGGATGCAATTGCATAAAAATCATCGCACCGCTTTCAAACGAATTGAGATTCTCGTGATAACTCATGATTTTAATCG